CCCATTTGCTTCCGTTTCGTTCCTAGTGAATACGACCTTGCTCAAGTGGGCTGGATTGGGTTATAGCCTAGTGGGTGTTGGTTAGTCAGACGACTGCGTATGAAGGTCACAATACAAGAACACGCCTTCAAGTCCCAGCTTTGGTTTCAGACTAACAAATAGCTACTGTATTTTCTCACCGCCAAATTCCATTTTATATAATGGCGAAAGTGGAATGAGGTCAGTGCTGGCTTAGTCTGTATGCCGAGCTGCTTTTTTTAAGGCCCTATAAAATCTGCGTTGAGGAGAATGGGGGGGTACACATAGATGCAAATGATAACCGTCTTCTGGTAGAGATGGAAAGGCTTTCCCATAAACCTTCCCAATTATATGTTAACTACAAAGTAGACAATTTCTACCTGGCAGAATGATATCATGATTATTTGCATCAATCCAGTGGCCATTTCTTTTGCAAACTCTGCAATTACATGAGTGCTTACCAAACAACGGTCTCTTGCTGGTGCGCAGATATGTTAATGGTTAACTACACCCCAAAATAAAAATGTATTTGATTTTTCCCAGACCTCAAGTGGTCTCCTGATGTGGTTTAACCCTTGGCCTACAATGGTCGCGCCCTCGCGGAAATATAATGGAATATTAATACAAAAATCCCCATAAAAATCAGTCTGTTTAAGCTAGAGATATGTTTTTTTGCATGGGATGTGCCTCAATCCATCACACCCGCCGATATCGCCCTTCCGCATCTGCGGTGAAAGGTGGCAGAGCGTTGTTTGTCAGACCATGAGACATCCCAAAATTCAGTCTTCTCACGAAAATGTCTGTAGCGTCCGAACGGTTTGGCCTAGATTATGACCACTCTATTGAAAGCTGAGACTCTCATGAACACGCTGGTGTTCTCCGCCCACAAGTGTCACAAGACTGATCTGAAGTTCCCTGGTACCAGTTTAAAAAAATTAATGGACGTACAGTACCAGTCAAAAGTTTGGACACACCTACTCATTCCAGGGTTTTTCTTTATTTTTACTATTTTCTACATTGTAGAATAATAGTGAAGACATCAAACTATGAAATAACACATATGGAATCATGTAGTAACCAAAACAGTGTTGAACAAATCAAAATATATTTTATATTTGAGATTCTTCAAAGTAGCCACCCTTTGCCTTGACAACAGCTTTCACACTCTTGGCATTCTCTAAACCAGCTTCATGAAGTAGTCACCTGGAATGCGTTTCAATTAACAGGTGTGCCTTGTTAAAAGTTAATTTGTGGAATTTCTTTCCTTTTTAATGCGTTTGAGCCAATCAGTTGTGTTCTGTCAAGGTAGGGGTGGTATACAGAATATAGCCCTATTTGGTAAAAGACCAAGTCCATATTATGGCAAGAACAGCTCAAATAAGCAAAGAGAAATGACAGTCCATCATTACTTCAAGACATGAAGGTCAGTCAATCCGGAAAATTTCAAGACCTTTGAAAGTTTCTTCAAGTGCAGTCGCAAAAACCATCAAGCGCTATGATGAAACTGGCTCTCATGAGGACCGCCACAGGAATGGAAGACCCAGAGTTACCTCTGCTGCGGAGGATAAGTTCATTAGAGTTACCAGCCTCAGAAATTGCAGCCCAAATAAACAGAGTAACAGACACATCTCAACATCAACTGTTCAGAGGAGACTGCGTGAATCAGGCCTTCATGGTCGAATTGCTGCAAACAAACCACTACTAAAGGACACCAATAAGAAAAAGAGAATGCTTGGGCCAAGAAACACGAGCAATGGACATTAGACCGGTGGAAACTTGTCCTTTGGTCTGATTATTCCAAATGTGAGATTTTTGGTTCCAACTGCCTTGTTTTTGTGAGACGCAGAGTAGGTGAACGGATTATCTCTGCATGGGTGGTTCCCACCGTGAAGCATGGAGGGGGAGGTGTGATGGAGTAGCAGTGATGGTGCTTTGCTGGTGACACTGTCTGTGATTTATTTAGAATTCAAGGCACACTTAACCAGCATGGCTACCACAGCATTCTGCAGCGATACGCCATACCATCTGGTTTGCGCTTAGTGGGACTTATCATTTGTTTTTCAACAGGACAATGACCCAACACACCTCCAGGCTGTGTAAGGGCTATTTTACCAAGAAGGAGAGTGATGGAGTGCTGCATCAAATGACCTGGCCTCCACAATCACCCGACCTTAACCCATTTAAGATGGTTTGGGATGAGTCGGACCACAGAGTGAAGGAAAAGCAGCCAACAAGTGCTCAGCATATGTGGGAACTCCTTCAAGTCTGCTTGAGAGAAGCTGGTTGAGAGAATGCCAAGAGTGTGCAAAGCTGTCATCAAGGCAAAGGGTGGCTACTTTGAAAAATCTAAAATGTATTTGGATTTGTTTAACACTTTTTTGGTTACTACATGATTCCATATGTGTTATTTCATAGTTTTGATGTCTTCACTATTATTCTGCAATGTAGAAAATAGTCAAAATAAAGAAAAACCCTTGAATGAGTATGTGTGTCCAAACTTTTGACTGGTACTGTATACACTACCGTTCAAAAGTTTGGGGTCACTTAGAAATGTCCTTGTTTTCCATGAAAACATACATTAAATGAGTTTGAATAGGAAATATAGCAAAATGAATAGGAAATGTAGTCATTGACAAGGTTAGAAATAATGATTTTTAATTGAAATAATAATTGTGTCCTTCAAACTTTGCTTTCGTCAAAGAATCCTCCATTTGCAGCAATTACAGCCTTGCAGACCTTTGGCATTCTAGTTGTCAATTTGTTGAGGTAATCTGAAGAGATTTCACCCCATGCTTCCTGAAGCACCTCCCACAAGTTGGATTGGCTTGATGGGAACTTCTCAAGCTGCTCCCACAACAGCTCAATAGGGTTGAGATCCGGTGACTGTGCTGGCCATTCCATTATAGACAGAATACCAGCTGACTGCTTCTTCCCTAAATAGTTATTGCATAGTTTGGAGCTGTGCTTTGGGTCATTGTCATGTTGTAGGAGGAAATTGGCTCCAATCAAGCGCCGTCCACAGGGTACGGCATGGCGTTGCAAAATGGAGTAATAGCCTTCCTTCTTCAAGATCCCTTTTACCCAGTACAAATCTCCCACTTTACCACCACCAAAGCACCCCCAGACCATCACATTGCCTCCACCATGCTTGACAGATGGCATCAAGCACTCCTCCAGCATCTTTTCATTTGGTCTGCGTCTCACAGATGTTCTTCTTTGTGATCCGAACACCTCAAACTTCGATTCGTCTGTCCATAACACTTTTTTCCAATCTTCCTCTGTCCAGTGTCTGTGTTATTTTGCCCATCTTAATCTTTAATTTTTATTGGCCAGTCTGAGATATGGCTTTTTCTTTGCAACTCTGCCTAGAAGGTCAGCATCCCGGAGTCGCCTCTTCACTGTTGACGTTGAAACTGGTGTTTTGCGGGTACTATTTAATGAAGATTCCAGTTGAGGACCTATGAGGCATCTGTTTCTCAAATTAGACACTCTAATGTATTTGTCCTCTTGCTCAGTTGTGCAACGGGGTCTCCCACTCCTCTTTCTATTCTGGTTAGAGCCAGTTTGCGCTGTTCTGTGAAGGGAGTAGTACACAGCGTTGTACGAGATCTTCAGTTTCTTTGGAATTTCTTGCATGGAATAGCCTTCATTTCTCAGAACAAGAATAGGCTGATGAGTTTCAGAAGAAAGTTCTTTGTTTCTGGCCATTTTGAGCCTGTAATCGAACCCACAATTGCTGATGCGCCAGATACTCAACTAGTCTCAAGAAGGCCAGTTGTATTGCTTCTTTAATCAGCACAACTGTTTTCAGCTGTGCTAACATAATTGCAAAAGGGTTTTCTAATGATCAATTAGCCTTTTAAAATGATAAACCTGGATTAGCAAACACAACGTGCCATTGGAACACAAGACTGATGGTTGCTGAGAATGGGCCTCTGTACGCCTATGTAAATATTCCATAAAAAATCAGCTGTTTCCAGCTACAATAGCCATTTACAACATTAACAATGTCTACACTGTATTTCTGATCAATTTGATGTTATTTTAATGGACAAAAAACGTGCTTTTCTTTCGAAAACAAGGAACTTTCCAAGTGACCACAAACTTTTGGAACAGTAGTGTATATGCGGATAAATAAGGGCATAAATACATGCAAAACAAAAAAACATATATTGTTTCCTGATCTTTCTTATATCTCTCAGATATAGGACTGTCACTTCAGAACAAACTTTGTTTGATTTTTTCTGTTGTTCCATGTAGTGGATCTGTTATTCTATGCGTTTCTATTGGCTAATAGCAGTATTGCCAAATTCATTTTTTTTATATATATATTTGTTATACCTTAAAGGTTCTTCAAATTCAAAATCAAATAGCTAAATTATCTTAAAACAATTCCATATGTTAGCTTAGAACCCCTCCCACCCCACCCCTTAGACTCTAAAGGGTTAATTAAGCATTGCTGTGGACTTAGAACATCCAATGTTGTTGTTTTTCTATTAAAAAAGTGTACTTTTGAGAGTGGAAACCTGAAGAAAAAAAACAGGGAAAATCGTAGACCTGGAAAAATGGAGAAAACTGAATTTTTAAGTTTTATTGTCACATGCACAAGTACAGTGAAATGCCTTTCTTGCAAACTCAAAACCCAACAATGCAATAATCAACAACAATGTATTACTAGAAAAAAACACAAGGGGAATAAGAAATATGAAATACAATAATGTAGGGGAATCAGGCAAAGAAATTTATAGGGCCCTATGTATTGCATCAAATGCCTTTTAGTCACCAAGTCTATTGGCTTTACAAGGACTTTGAGATCACACAGCCAGCTTAGCAGATTTCTGATGACTAAAACCAACAACAATGTAAGCTACTCACAGTCGATACTATTGTATGGTTTGGTAATACACCAAAGGTTAATGTCTGATACATTTTAAGCCTCTAAAGTTCCTTAACAATTGTTCTCTCTCTTTTCTCCCATCCAGGTGGTTGCGTATCACTACTGCCAGGCTGACAACACCTACACCTGCCTGGTCCCAGAGTTTGTTCACAGTATCGCTGCCCTGCTATGCAGAGCGCACCAGCTCACCGCCTATAGAGAGCTGCTGCTGAAGGAGCCCCATCTACAGAGCATGCTCAGTCTGCGCTCCTGCGTCCAGGACCCCATGGCAGCCTTCCGCAGGGGCGTGTTGGAGCCGCTGGCCAACCTCCGCAAGGGTACGATGCTAAGCTAGTTACACCTAGGTTAATTCATATCTGACTGTCTCGTTGTCACTGGTGTTCATGGTCCAAAATGAAGTCTTGAAAGCACACATTGAATACATATTATATAATCTAGGCCTTCAGTGGCTCAAGGTTTCTAGCAAGTGTATTATAACTGTAATTTAACCACAGGTTTGCTTAGATGTCTGTGTAGAGACAGATGCGGACCGTTCCAAGGTGCCCTTCGGTGTCATAAATTGCAGACGGCTACCTAAGGTCACTCCAGAGACCATTTACTGTTCTTTTTTTTTACTTCTTCCAGCCGGTTGATATACATTTGTTCCATTCCTTACACAAAGGACCTGAAATACCTGAGTTAAATGGGTTAAGTGCGGGCCGTACTAAGGGAGCATAGTCTGCGCGGACATTGTTAATTGCTTAGCGTAGGCGCTCCGTGTTTGCTCTGACACAACATTGATTTGAATTGGCGTTATACTAAATAATTAGCATTACTTTCTTATTGTTGGAAGAATAGTGCCTCTCCAAGGAAGCGTGACCCTCGTGACAACTGCATCTCTCTGAGACAGACAGACAGACAGACAGACAGACAGACAGACAGACAGACAGACAGACAGACAGACAGAAACACGACTATCTCAAGGTCAAGTCCATTGTGCAAAGACAACACGACCCACCATTTTCCCTGCTCTACACTGAATTGATATGTTACTGCAGCAGCCTAAACACCCGATGTAGATAAACAAACAGGAGATGGAAAAGATGAGAACCAATGTGCAGCCAGGGCATACAGCAGCTCTCCTGTGACGGAACCGCTATGGTGGACTGATGGTCCCCCTCACATGTCTCCTTTCCCTTGCCTCCCCTCACGACTGCCCCCTGTTCCTTATTGAAATTAATAGCCTGTTTGATTGGGCTTGATACAGGGTGAAAAGTGTTGATTGGTCCACTCCATCACAACGAGAGGGTGGGGTTGTACAAATCTGATTTGACATCCCAGCTGGGAGAGGAGTTGAGATTTGCACATTTTCCTGTAATTAATATTTTAGCGTGTTTCTGATCACTGTGCAGTGTGAGAAGCTGGATGTGAGGAGGAACACTAGGTTGCATCCCATATGGCACCCAATCTGTATGGAGCGCACTACATTTGACAAGTAGCCTATGGTCAAAAGTAGTGCACTATATAGGAAATAGAGTGTCATTTGGGATGCACACAAGGGCCCTGTCGTTCTACTGCTGTGAAAACATGGCTTAGATACTGCAGTGAAGAAGAGCAGATCCTCGCTGCGGTCTCACCACAGAGCAGTTGAGTGTACTGCACTATACAGTGAGGGAAAAAAGTATTTGAATACTGCAGCGCCCGCAAGGTCCCCCTGCTCAAGAAAGCACATATACAGGCCCGTCAGAAGTTTGCCAATGAACATCTGAATGATTCAGAGGAGAACTGGGTGAAAGTGTTGTGGTCAGATGAGACCAAAATGGAGCTCTCATCAACTCAACTCGCCGTGTTTGGAGGAGGAGGAATGCTGCCTATGACCCCAAGAACACCATCCCCACTGTCAAACATGGAGGTGGAAACATTATGCTTTGGGGGTGTTTTTCTGCTAAGGGTACAGGACAACTTCACCGCATCAAAGAGACGATGGACGGGGCCACGTACCGTCAAATCTTGGGTGAGAACCTCCTTCCCTCTGCCAGGGCATTGAAAATGGGTCGTGGATGGGTATTCCAGCATGACAATGACCCAAAACACACGGCCAAGGCAACAAAGGAGTGGCTCAAGAAGAAGCACATTAAGGTCCTGGAGTGGCCTAGCCAGTCTCCAGACCTTAATCCCATAGAAAATCTGTGGAGGGAGCTGAAGGTTCGAGTTGCCAAACGTCAGCCTCGAAACCTTAATGACTTGGAGAAGATCTGCAACGAGGAGTGGGACAGAATCCCTCCTGAGATGTGTGCAAACCTGGTGGCCAACTACAAGAAACGTCTGACCTCTGTGATTGCCAACAAGGGCTTTGCCACCAAGTACTAAGTCATGTTTTGCAGAGGGGTCAAATACTTATTTCCCTCATTAAAATGCAAATCAATTTATAACATTTTTGACATGCGTTTTTCTGGATTTTGTTGTTGTTATTCTGTCTCTGACTGTTCAAATAAACCTACCATTAAAATTATAGACGGATCATGTCTTTGTCAGTGGGCAAACATACAAAATCAGCAGGGGATCAAATACTTTTTTCCCTCACTGTAGATATGGCTGCCGACTAAAACACACTCATGTTCATTCAACACTGTGCTAGCTGTAGAGATGTGGGAGAATACCAGAGTAAACCATTTAAAGATGTGTTAATGCACCAGGCACTGCAGTGCAGAGAGATCTACCCATGTCATCTAAGTACAAAGTTGTTTATAGGTCTTTAAAGTGTGGTGTCCAACTATATTACTCTCTTTCTCTACTGTGTGTTCAGTTCTTATTTTTACTGACAACAAACTCAAAATAAAATATTCTACTCCTTGGCAAAATGCCATGTTTGCAGTCGACTTGGCCTGAAAGGTTTGTGAATTGTCGATTTGTTTCTTTCCACCATGTCTTCTCCACTCATCCGTGTGTGTGTGTGTGTTTAGAGAGGAAGATTCGCGAAGAAGACCATATCATACTGATAGATGGGCTAAACGAGGCAGAGTTCCACAAGCCCGACTACGGAGACACCATCGCCTCCTTCATCACCAAGATAATCTCCAAGTTCCCCTCCTGGCTCAAACTGGTTGTCACTGTCCGAGTCAACCTACTGGTGAGTCTCCATGTACACTCCTACTGTACGGTGTAGGATTACAGAATTCTGGTAACTTTCCAAAAATGTCCAGGTTTTCCAGAAATCCTGGTTGGAGGATTTCGGATTTCCAACCGTGATTTCTGGAAAACCAGGGAATTTTGGAGAAGTTACCAAAATGTTGCAACCTAAGATGGTGTGATACTGCAGCAGGTAGCTTAGCGGTTAAGAGCATTGGGCCAGTAACCGAAAGTTCACCGGTTCGAATCCCCGAGCTGACTTGGTGAAAAATGTGTCGACGTGACCTTGAGCAATGCACTTAACCCTAATTGCGCATGTAAGTCACTCTGGATAAGAGCGTCTACTAAAATGGTAATATGTCACCATACAGGTATTCATGTTGATATCCTATAATTCACTAATTAATTGAATTGACACCCTGTATTTTTCCCAGTAAGGGTGCTGATGAGTTTAGCTGTATTCAAGGGCCATCTCAGCACAGCTAACTTGCCAATTTCATGTGAATAAGATACTTTTACAACCTCCATGGGTAAGTCTGGGTATCAATATTTGATATGTCTCTCACTGAATGACACAAGCACCGGCAGATCCTGACAAGTGTAAAAGATAAACTGCTTTACGAAGCGTTTCTTGTTGTCATACACTATCCTCTACAAAGTGTAATTTCTGTTGAGTGCTTCGAGAATGGTAGTGGAGAGAGTGAGAGAAATAACAGTTACCTGTTAAACAAGACAGCATGACAACAGAACATGCAGACAGAGCCACTGAGTCTACCAATGGAGGAGATGAGCTGAGCTGGGTTGTGTCCCAAATTCCCTATTCCCTATGTAGTGCGCTACTTCTTACCAGAGCTCTGACTACATAGGGACTAGGGTGCCATTTGAGACGCAGATCCTGGTGTCACTTCTTTGCATTCTTTGCAGAGGTTTTGACAGGTCTGATGGACAGAGATGGACAGGGCTGGGCTGATTGCCTTGGCTGGCAATGTAGACTGTGGGAGAATCTCAATGTCATACTCCTCGCGTCCTCTCTCCTCGCCTCCTTCTCAAAACCCATTGGAGGAGAAGGTCAGATGGGAGGGACCTCTGGCTTTCTCCTCCAATAGGTTTGCAGAAGGAGGAGAGGAGAGAGGATGCAAGGAGTGCAATTGAGATTTTTCCTGGGCCTTGGGATAATTTGGCAGCTGACTGACAGCCATATCTGTACCAGCTCTAGTCATTATTGCTCTCTCAGCCACCCTGGCCACGGGCACAACCATCCATCACTGTGCATAGGCAGGAGTTAGTTACACTGCACTGCAGACAGGGAGCATAGGAGGCAGCACACATTTGTTAGATCTATGCTGTTCAGTTTTCTTTTTTTACGACTGGAGAATTGAAGGGGTATGGGTAAGGGATTATCCTGATCTCGTATTCAATAATTTTTTTATTTCCTGCTCCGTTTTGGTTATTCCTTGCATGGTGTGGGTGATTCTGTGATGTGTAGGGTTCTATACTGCGATCAAAACAGTCACATTTGCAACCGTTTGACTTGGCAGTGCGACATTTTTTATTGGTCTCAAGGTTGCCCGTGAAAAAAGTGTACCTGGTCACGTTCGTTTTTGGTTCACAATTATTATTATTTTTATCTTCATGATTTATTCAAACAGTAATGTGCAGTTGACCAAAAATATAAAAACTTTCGGAAGAGGCAACAATGGCACGGGAATATTGTAATAATGCTATTTTTTATCTAGGCTATATAATTGATTTAAAAAACTGATTCCCAAAGCTGTTTGTTCGTTATGTCGATTATTTATCACATGCGCACTGCACACATACACTACCAGTCAAAAGTTTTAGAACACCTACTCATTCAAGGGTTTTTCTTTATTTTTACTATTTTCTACATTGTAGAATAATAGTGAAGACATCAAAACTATGAAATAACACAAATGGAATCATGTAGTAACCAAAAAAGTGTTAAAGAAATCCAAATATATTTGAGATTTGAGATTCTTCAAATAGCCACCCTTTGCCTTGATGACAGCTTTGCACACTCTTGGCATTCTCTCAACCAGCTTCACCTGGAATGCTTTTCCAACAGTCTTGAAGGAGTTTCCACATATGCTGAGCACTTTTGGCTGCTTTTCCTTCACTCTGCCGTCTGACTCATCCCAATCATCTCAATTGGGTTGAGGTCGGGGGATTGTGGAGGCCAGGTCATCTGATGCAACACTCCATCACTCTCCTTCCTGGTAAAATAGCCCTACACAGCCTGGAGGTGTGTTGGGTCATTGGCCTGTTGAAAAACAAATGATAGTCCCACTATTCCAAACCAGATGGGATGGCGTATCGCTGCAGAATGCTGTGGTAGCCATGCTGGTTAAGTGTGCCTTGAATTCTAAATAAATCACAGACAGTGTCACCAGCAAAGCACCATCACACCTCCAGAGAATTTATCCAAGGGCCTCCCTAGGGTTGCAAAATGTCCGTAACTTCCCAGGTTTTCAAGAAAATGTACAGGTTTCTTTTTTAGAATGATGGATCAATATATTTTGACATGACATGTAGCCTAATTTCTTTGTGTGTAGATACCCTTTAATTCAGGTGCACACCAGCCAGACAGTTGTGCTTGGCTATACAGGGTTCATATAGACATTGGTAAGTCAAATTCAAGGACAGCCAGTTTCATCATAGCGCTTGATGGTTTTTGCGACTGCACTTGAAGAAACATTCAATGTTCTTGAAATGTTCTGTATTGACTGACCTTCATGTCCTAAAGTAATGATGGACTGTCATTTCTCTTTGCTTATTTGAGCTGTTCTTGCCATAATATGGACTTGGTGTTTTACCAAATCTTCTGTATACCCTCCCCCTACCTTGTCACAAGACAATCGATTGGCTCAAATGCATTAAGAAGGAAATAAATTCCACAAATTAACTTTTAAGAAGGCACACCTGTTAATTGAAATGCATTCCAGGTGACTACCTCATGAAGCTGGTTGAGAGAATGCCAAGAGTGTGCAAAGCTGTCATCAAGGCAAAGGGTGGCTATTTGAAGAATCTCAAATATAGAATATATTTTGATTTGTTTAACACTTTTTTGGTTACTACATGATTCCATATGTGTTATTTCATAGTTTTGATGTCTTCACTATTATTCTACAATGAAGAAAATAGTAAAAATAAAGAAAAACCCTTGAATTAATAGGTGTTCTAAAGCTTTGGACCGGTAGTCGGGCAGAGAGAGCGCGCAGCTCTCAAACAGCTGGTTGTTGCATGGAGCAACTCACCTAAGACCGACATCGGTAGTAGGGGTAGGAAAGCTGTATGAAAGTTGTTCAAAGTTATGATATCTACCAGTAAATGCTAAGGCAAGGATGGGTATGCAAACCAGTTATTTAAAAAGTTAAACGTTTTGGTTGAATATTTGTGATGCGCAATTCAGTTATCATGGAATAGCCTACCTTAAAAATCAGACATTTCCTCTAGGGTTTGGTCCTTGAAAAGTCCTTGAAGTTATGGTAGCCGATTTAGACGTTCTACTGCTCCAATATAATTATTCTATGATTTCATTTCTGATCAGTTTTTATGAGAGATGTAGCTGCTTTCGTTTGTTTCCCGTCCTTTCAATTGATGGGTGTTGCACTAGTCTGTTGCGCTTGTTGCGGTAAAACCATGTGTGGTTATTATGAGCAAGACAACATCGAATGTTGGCTTCAACTTGGTTTTCCATACAAAGTGTTCCATTACAAAGGGAACCTGGTTTTAGGTCGCTTTCTCGTAAAAAAAAATATAATAACCCTTCAATAACTCTTCAACATCTCAAATGGCGAGACTGACTAGCTACTACATGGACAGACTTCATTAGTGTGTTTGTGTCGGGAGCCTGCTGTCTATTTATTTAGCCAGGCAATGCCCACATTATTCTGACATATTTTAGAATGTAATTTTTTTAAAAATGCAAATGCCATTGGGTAGGCCTAAAATGCATTCTTAAAGTGGTAATGCATACTTTTTAGCATACCGGTACATTTTTGGGGGAGTTTTTTTTTCTATAGGGTAATTACAACAATTGTGGAAAAAATGTAGGTCCTTGAAAATTACAATTAAGTGCTTGAAAAAGTCCTTGAATTTGACTTACCAATGTCTATATGAACCCTGTATAGCCAAGTACAACTGTCTGGCTGGTGTGCACCTGAATTAAAGGGTATCTACACACAAACAAATTAGGCTACATGTCATGTCAAAATATATTGATCCATCATTCTAAAAAAAGAAACCTGTACATTTTCTTGAAAACCTGGGAAGTTACTGAAATGTTGCAACCCTAGGGAGGCCCTTGGATAAATTCTCTCATTAAGTAGGTAGGATAAGTGGAGACTAGAGCCAGGTGACGGTGTAAGTGTTACCTCATGCTCACACATCCAAAGTGTAAACAAGATCTGAAAGCAAGGTCGCTCACAATGGCTAACACCACGGACTAATAACTGTGAGGTGTTCTTAGGGGAGGTGTTGCTCACAGGAAACTTGGCCAGCCTGTGTATTATTCAGTATTTTCTCCTTTATCTCTCGCTCACTTTCACTGTGTCTGACTCTCCCTCTATCTCTCTCTCTATCTCTTCTCTCGCTCTCTCTCTCTCTCTGAGAAGAAGGCGTTATCTCTGGGCTGCATTACTTCTCTATCCTCTCCAGAAAGGCAGGGGGATTGCAGCAGTATTAAGGCGGATTGATTTTTCCCACCCTGAGGAGTGAGATTGAAGTGTGGGTTGTGTCCACAGCGTGCCCGCTAAAAGTCTCCCCAATGGACCCATCTCCTGCTCTCTCCAGATCTCACAGTCTCCCAGCTCCCAAAGCCTTTGTTTGCAAACACAGCGGCGAGTGACTGCGGCAGGCCGATAGCTTAGTGCTCAGTGTCAGTTCCAGCTAGCCCCCTGTGCTTACTGACCTTGGGCTGATAAGAAAAGCTGGAGGATCCACACATGATATAGCTTTCATGGAGAGTGGAAGATTTTCCATTAAGCTCTTCATTTTGCGGTGGTTTCTGTTGTGTGGAGAGAAACCGTTTTGGAATACGAATTTAGAATTCTGGGCATACACTTAAGTGTACATTATATGGTTGATTTATTGTTTTACCCACTTTCTCATTTACATAGACATCATTTTCTGTATGGGTGATGATACTGGAGAACAAATATTTCTAATTTAAAAACGATATAATGTAACAATATAATATTAAAGTGCAGTAGCAAATCTAATGACAATATCCTTGTGCCTTCCATAGGAAATCACAAGCCTCCTCCCCTTCTCCAAGATCTCCCTGGACGACTTCCCAGAGAACAAGGAAATCAACACGGACCTCAACGCCTACATCCAGTACCGCATCAACGGCAGCAAAGACATCATGAACAACATCTCCCTCAACGGCAAGGCCGACCCCATCATTGTGGGCAAGGTGAGCAGCCACCTGATTGCCCGTAGCCAGGGCTCCTACCTGTACCTCAAACTGACCCTGGACCTGTTCGAGAGGGGCCACCTGGTGATCAAGAGCGCTAGTTACAAGGTGGTGCCCGTGTCGCTGGCAGAGCTCTACCTGCTGCAGTGCAACATGAAGTTCATGACTCAGTCGGCGTTCGAGCGCTCGCTGCCCATCCTGAATGTAGCGCTGGCGTCTCTTCACCCGATGACGGACGAGCATCTGTTCCAGGCCATCAACGCGGGTGCCGTACGTGGCGAGCTGCCCTGGGACGACTTCCAGCAGCGCATGGAGACGTTGTCCTGTTTCCTCATCAAGCGGCGGGACAAGACTCGCATGTTCTGCCACCCGTCCTTCAGAGAGTGGTTGGTATGGAGGGCCGAAGGAGAGAGCACCGACTTCCTCTGTGACCCCAGGTGAGTTAGACTAACTCAAATCTACCCTGGTTAGTTAGGCGAACTTAAGCCCAATCAGTGAGTTAGGCAAACTTAAGCCCAATCAGTAAGTTAGGGAAAGTCAAACCTACCCAGTAGGGATGACCACGGTTATTAGAATATTTGAATATCTGAACGGACATTAGTATTATAATATTTGGGAGAGTATTCATTTTTTGAAAAAAAAAATATATATGCTAATTTTAACAATATTGCTACATAGCCTACAAGGATAACCATTACATTAAACATTTTAATAAAACAACAGTTTTAAGACAGTTTTTACGAGTGCGCCCCATAAAAAAGACGCACCGGTAACCTACACACTTATCACACATGTAGCTTGTTGTTATTGTAGCTTGTTGTTATTGTAGCTTGTTCTTATTGTCGGTCAATCAAAGTGGCGCTACAGTCATAGGCACCATGTGAAGTGGGAGATTTCTAATCAATGCTAAATGGAATTAAAATTACAAAATTAAATTGGCCAAATGAGAGGGAGTAGGCTACAATGATCAATCAACAGGTAGGCTGTTTAAAGGGAAGCAACATATTCATCTCCAGCACCACCCCAACATCAACATATGTGAAAATAGTGTGTTTCTATGTTTTGTAGTAAAAAAGATAGAGAAAGATAAGTGTTTCCAATGACATTATCACCAGATTAGTAGACAATGAGTAGACAATTAGTAGGCAATGCCTACTCACAATTGGTGAAATCACACAATGCACACCGATGATGTAATTCGAAAACATTTATCTTCCTCTATCTTTTTTACTACAAAACATAGAAATGCACCATTTTCCCATATGTTGGGGAGGTGCTGGAGATGATGAATATGAAGTAAAAAAATTGTGATGTTTCCCTTTAATATGAATGGGGTTTTTGTAGACTAAAATGGGGAGCACAGCAAAATAGCCTCAATTAGCCTTACTACCGTAGCTAGCTAGCTGGCTAACTTTGCTTGCTACTGTCGCTAGCTAGCTTCTTTACAACGATTTGATGCAGTCAAGACAGGCACTACCAGATGGTATGATAGATAACCTATGGCAGCAACAAGTTTGTCTAACTAGCGCAAGTCGGTTTGACTACTTTCTCTCTCTCCCTCCTGCCACACACATAGACAGTCACACACACCGGCCCCTGCTCCTCTCCCGCCCCTCCCCCATCTTCTGCTGAAACAAGCAGAGTGCAGCGCACCAGCTCTCTCCCGATTTGCACAAGAAGTAAAAACATTTTTTTAAACACATGTACATTGAACAAAAATATAAACGCTACATGTAAAGTGTGTTTCATATGTGTTTCATAAGCTGAAATAAAAGATCCCAGGAGATTTCCATAGGCACAAAAAGCTTATTTCTCTCAAATGTTGTGCACAAATTTGTTTACATCACTCTTAGTGAGCATTTCTCCTTTGCCAAGATAATCCATCCACCTGACAGGCGTGGCATATCAAGAAGCTGATTAAACAGCATGATTATTACACAGGTGCACCTTGTGCTGGGGACAATAAAAGGCCACTCTAAAATGTGCAGTTTTGTCACACAACACAATGCCACAGATGTCTCAAGTTTTGAGGGAGGGTACAATTGGCATGCTGACTGCAGGAATGTCCACCAGAGCTGTTGCCAGAGAATTGAATGTTAATTTCTCTACCATAAGATGCCTCCAATGTCGTTTTAGAGAATTTGGCAGTATGTCCAACCGGCCTCACAACCGCAGACCACTTGTAACCACGCCAGCCCAGGAACCTCCACATCCGGCTTCTTCACCTGCGGGATTGTCTGAGACAGCTTATGTAACTGTGGGTTTGTGTAACCAAATAATTTTTGCACAAACTGTCAGAAACCGTCTCAGGGAAGCTCATCTGCATGCTCGTCGTCCTCACCAGGGTCTTGACCAGACTGCAGTTCGGCGTCGTAACCGACTTAAGTGGGCAAATGCTCAACTTTGATGACCACTGGCACACTGGAGAAGTGTGCTCTTCACATATCAATCCCGCGTTCAACTGTACCGGGCAGATGACAGACAACGTGTATAGCGTTGTGTGGGCAAGCGGTTTGCTGATGTCCAAGTTGTGAACAGAGTGCCCCATACTGGCGGTGGGGTTATGGTATGGGCAGGCATAAGCTATGGACAGCGAACACAATTGCATTTTATTGATCGTGGTCCTCTGTAGCTCAGCTGGTAGAGCACGGCGCTTGTAACGTCAAGATAGTGGGTTCGATCCCCGGGACCACCCATACACAAAAATGTATGCATGCATGACTGTAAGTCGCTTTGGATAAAAGCGTCTGCTAAATGGCATATTATTATAGTATTAATGCAAAGAGATACCGTAACGAGATCCTGAGGCCCGTTGTCGTGTTATTCATCCGCCGCCATCACCTCATGTTTCAGCAAGGGATCTGTACACAATTCCTGGAAGCTGAAAATGTCCCAGTTCTTCCATGGCCTGCATACTCACCCATTGAGCATGTTTGGGATGCTCTGGATCGACGTGTGTGACAGCGTGTTCCAGTTCCCGCCAATATCCAGCAACTTTGCACAGTCATTGAAGAGGAGTGGGACAACATTCCAAAGGCCACAATCAACAGCCTGATCAACTCTATGCGAAGGAGATGTGTCGTGCTGCATGAGGCAAATGGTGGTCACACCAGATACTGACTGGTTTTCTGATCCACGCCCCTAACTTTTTTTAAAGGTATCTGTGACCAACAGATGCAGATCTTTATTCCCAGTCATGGGAAATCCATCGATTAGAGCCTAATGAATTTATTTCAATTGACTGATTTCCTTATATGAACTGTAACTCAATAAAATCTTAGACATTGTTGCATGTTGCATTTATATTTTTGTTCAGTGTATTTCAACTATTCGGATATCAACCCCCAAAATAATGATATTATTTGAATAGTGAATTCATTTCAAATGCCCATCCTGGAACCCATTCAAAACCTGCCTAGCATATTCTGTCAGGAGGTTAGCACTGACAGTAGAGCTTTTAATCAGCAATACATTCATAGCCAGTAGGAGATTTCTCTTTTCAGTCATTCAGTTGTGTTGAATTGAAAATGCAACCTCTCTACCATAAGTGAAATGTGTGGTTGCCTAGGATGGATGGCTCACTCTGGCATTTCTTCTAGCACTCAGGAGGATAAATAATTACAGTACCTTGTTTGGCGCTGCATATTCTGCTCTTCAAATGCTTTTAAAAATGTAAATAGCGAGGGAGACAGCGCACCATTTTGTTTGAGGAGCAAACAAGCACAAGACAGTATTGAATGGTTGTTTGTGCAGTAAAGAGGGAGGAAATTACCATCAATAACAAGTTGTGCTTGACTCATCTCTGCCTGGGAGATCTCTGATGTCTGATGATGTCTGTTTCTTCGCTTGAAGAGGAAATCGAACATTCAAGACAGCGTCACCGCGTTCCATTTTGAGTTATATCAATCCATTCCTTTTCACTCAATCACAGATATGTTATTGCTCCCTAGTTTGTATACCGCCATTGATCGATACACATGGGGCAGGAGGGAGAGGACGGCGCTTCGCTGCAGAACAAATGACAGAATCTATTGCTCAACTCTGAAACAGAAGCTGACAAGTCATATTTCTTCCTGTTGCTGTTAAGCTGTGCTCTGCTGGGTGAGGGGATGGATGGACAGCCAGGGGAAGTAGCCTAGTGGATGTCTGTGTCCCAAATGGCACCATATTCCCTATATAGTGCACTACTTTCGACCAGAGCCCTATGTCAAAAATTGTGCACTAAATAGGGAATGGGGTGCCATTTGGGACACAGCCGATGTTGTTTGGCAGAGAAACACAGGAGTTGTCAGCATACATCCTCGGTCCCATACCTGTCGCATTATCTTACATGTGGTCCGACTGATAGGTTGAAAGAAAAGAAAGGTAGGGCTCCTTCAGTGCTGTGCGTGTAGGGAAATTGATTTAGCTCAAGTCGGATGAGGGAGGTTGTTTACTGGCAAGGATGTTTCCATAAATACTATTCAGTGTAATAGAAGAGCCATCTGTGTGAATTTGCTCTTAGACATGGTTTTCTCTCAGCACAGATACTCTCGAGTTGGCAAATGTATACTATACAGGAGCTAGCATTACTACTGTCAAGAGTGTACTACTATCTTGTTGCTATCATTTATAACAACAATAACTTATGTTGTCCCTAAAGCATCAACACAGTATGCAGTGTTATTGCTGGCGCCGACGAAGATGGCCGCCTCACGACTAGCTCTTAGGAAACTTTGCAGTATTTTTTTTTTTTTATGTACAATTTTTTACATTATTAGCTCAGAAAGTGTTTTGCATCATTACATACAGCCGGGAAAAACTATTGGATATCAGAGCGGCGGTAACTCACCAGCATTACGACTAGGAATATGACTTTCCCGAAGCAGATCCTTTGTTTGCTCTCCCCAAGGCAACTGAACTGATTCCAGCGGCTGACCCAAAACATCGCCGGTGGAGGAGAGGCACTAGGAACGGCCTGCAGGTTCGACTTAGGAGGCGCGCACACCACCCACCGCTTCCAAGTATACTACTCGCTACTCTTTGGTTAACAAGCTCGATGAACTCCTGGCAAGGATTTCTTTCCAGAGAGACATCAAGGCCTGTAACATACTCTGTTTCATGGAAATATGGCTCTCTTGGGATATTCTGTCAGCTCAGTTCATCGCGCAGACAGGAATAATAAATATCTCTCCGGGAAGCAGAAGGGCGGAGGTGTGTGTTTCATGATTAACGACTCATGGTGTAATTGTAGTAACATACAGGAACTCGAGTCTTTCTGTTCACCTGACCTAGAATTTCTCACAATCAAATGCCGACCGTATTATCTCCCAAGATAATTTTCTTTGGTATATCCCCCCTCAAGCCGATACCACGACGGCCCTCAAAGAACTTCACTGGACCTTATGCAAACTGGAAACCACATATCCTGAGGCTGCATTTATCGTAGCGGGGGA